TGGCTCAGCTGTAAAAAGTATCCACCTGCCAATGCAGGAGACCCAGGTTTGAGCCCTGTTCCAGGAAGACCCCCCTGGAGAAGGTAAAGGCAACCCACTCTGGTATTCTTGCCTGGGAAATCCTGTGGACAGAAGAGCCTGGAGGGCTATGGAGTGAAGAGAGTCAGACATGACTTAGCAACTAAATAACAAAAAGTAAACCCAAACATTTTGTTCAATCATTACATGGTTTGGGAACAGGAAAAAACTATTAGCCACAAGAGGGTAAATGCCATGATAACTTTATATGCTTGGGTAAAATAAATTTAGAGCCTAGATAAGTCACACAAACTGTAAAATCTTAACTACTGGTAAAAGATATGCTCTACCGTATGTCAGATTATAACACTGAGCGAATGTGTCCTTTAAGCTGCCAAAGGCACTCATTCAGCATTTCATCAACTTCAGGGACTTGGCTCAAAGCACGGTGGTGCAGAGTCTCTGGAGACAGAGACTGTGATCAAGATGAAAGAAACCCTACAGGGGAGGAAAACTCTCTATGCATAAACCAATTCTGTGCATAATATGATAACATAAAGTCAACTGTTTGAGATAGATCAAGGGCCATGGCAACTCACAAAACCACTGTGGTCACGGCGGATGCTGGCATTACCAACTGCTTGTCTTGAGTTTGTATCTATTTAAATTTATAGTCTTCCTTACTTACTTAGATTTCAGATCTGGAAGTTCAGGCTCATCTGTAGACACCTCCAGGGTGATAAAAGGTCCCAGGCTTTGAAGTCAGACAAACCTGGGCTGGCACGTGTGTTAACTTTGCAACTCTGGGCAAGTGGACTAAATCCCAGAGCTTCAGTTCCCTCTGCAAAACAGACACCCACATGCTACAGAGTGGCTTGAGCAATTAGAGCTATGTGTACATAAAGTGCAAGGACTGTGCTGAATATACAGTAAGTCCTCCAACTGTCCTTTAATATAAAGTGGAAAGATGCTGCTTAGGTAAAACCATGGAAAACAGTTGTACGCAGGTAGTGGTGGGGTCCAGGACAAATATTATTCCCACCCCATCTTTCTCTTACCCATATTATGACACTTAAGTCTCCATATACTTTCAGGAATAATGGTAGATCAGATTTATAACCCACATCTACCATATTTGTTTACTTATTTAATATTAAACTCATCCTCCATGCCAACGATTTTTCAAAAGTCAGTGTTAAAAAAATCACTTTCTACAATTCAGGAGTGACTTCTGGGATCCATTCTCTTGTGCAAAAATCCTTTCACAAGAGACTTCTATTAAAACTGGGATTCTCTGCAGTCAGACACACTTCCCTCAGCTTGATTAAGGGTCATCCAACAGTTGATGAGTCCAGCTTCCTGGAAGGCTGGCTCTTTCTCTGGTTTTATGTCAGTGTGGTAGAAGGACTAACTACCCACTCAACTGTGGAGGCCTCTGAGCTCCTGAGGCTCTGTCCAAGTGGGCCTGCACCGTGACTCATGTTGAGACACTGGTTTCCATGGCAGCCCTTCAAGCCTTCATGCACATCTCATTAACATGCAAGTTCTGGATCGGGAGGGCTGGGCAGGGCCCCAAGACAATACAAGCTCCCAGATGACGCCTGTGCCAATTTCCAGACCACGCCGGGAGAAGCAAGGGCCTCCAGGGCCAAGGCGACAGGATTCACAAACCAACCAGCATACGGCGTCCCTCCATCCTCAGGGTTCAAAACAGGGACAGCAGCTGCCAGCTGACTGTCTCCAGGAAGTTACTGAACTATGGAAGTCGCATAAAGTCAGTGAAGTACACTCAGAACTCTGAGAGGAACCAGAGAGACAATAATCACAGGCACCATCTTCTCTAGCTGAAAACACCTCCCATCCCTCCAAGCTCTTTTCTCCTAGGAAGATACCCTTTTTGTTAGCTCTCATAAGCCGTTTGAGTAGTGGTTAGTGAAAACACATCAAGACACTGCTCATGTCTCCTGTAGAGTCTCAGTGTAGGAAAAAACAGTTTTTAAAAGTTTCGGGGCGGGGAGGGGGGGTGGGAATGATAGTAACAGCGTAACGAATGAAATCAGCTTAGAAGGCTATTCGGGCTCTCATTGCTTCTGAAAATTGGACATGCATTCTGTAACTGTCATTGACTTATGGGCAGCCTGACTTTCAGGGACCAAATAATGAGCAAACCATCTCAGGGGCACGTTCCATGTTAAATCAGAGGTTTTATGCTGTGGTGATGGGGGGGAAATGAGTCCTAAAAAACAGTGCGGATGAAACGCAGGGCTGGAGCCAGGCAGAATCCTGAAGCTGCCACCACCAGGTCAGAAGCCCAGCTGGGTAGACCTTGCTTACCCCGCTAACTTCTCCAAGATTTTACCTGCCAACTGAACCACACTCCAGTCCTCCCTACTAACTCACATTTCTATTCAGTGTTTACCATCCATGGCTCAGAGAATCCCTTCCCAAGGATCCACAGGACCGTTGCCTGCCTGAAGTCATCACTGTCATTCTGTTGACAACAGATTTCTAAAGTGTGGTCTGGGATGTAACTGGCGGTGCTTTGGTACCTCTAAATTGACCAGCCCTGAAACCACTCACACCTGGGCCTTAGAGCATATGCAGCTTTTTACAGGTGAGACCACATCATTAGGGTGACTTCCTTCTCTTTCAGGTTCACTTTGAGGATTACCCTGTTACCTTGTACTGCCCAGGACTGATTCTGGCACCTAGACAGAGCAGGATTCCCCGAGATGGAGTCTGCTGGGAGTGTGTGATCCCTGGACCTCAAACAGCATACCTTTAAAACGCAGGCAACTCACAAGTCTTCGTGGGTGCGGCCTCCTTCTGGTGAAGACAGGGGGGCAGGGCCTGTGGTCACCTATGGTGACAACGAACCGTCCCTCAAGTTCAGAGAGCTGCACGCAGGGAACACTGACTCCCCTCGCTGGGAATCAAGCCACCTGGGGGCAGTTTTCCTATCAGACGCCCTGGATCTCATCACATTTGCTTTTAACAAGCACCCAGGTGATACACGGACCGAATTTTCAGGAAGAAGGATCCTCTTCTGTGGCTCAAGGATCTTGACGCTTTTGGCTTTTACGGAACAACCTTATCCACCGCCCGCACAGAGGCCGTGACAAAGTTACACTCTGTCCCGGCAGAAGGTCAACACACAGCCAAGGACTAAGGATTTCCTTGTTGACTTTATACGCTCAAAACAAAACGCAAGCGCAGTCACTCATCCTGCCTCTGCCGCACCGCTTACCCCACAGTCCCATGCCCTTTCTTCATGAAACTGGCGACTTTCCTCCAACCACCACGCCAGCATCCCGGGGAAAGAAAACCACCGCCCTCGGGTTCTGAGAGCACGAACTCCAGGTGTGGACACTCAGTTGCCTGTGGTTGCTCCGGCTCAGAAACCACACGCACAAGGAAAAAAAGTTTGCACCGGAGAGGACGGAGCACCCCCGCGGGGGCCGCGGTCCCCGAGCGCGCCTCCAGGCCCCTCCAGCGGGCGCCGCCTCCCCGACCGGCCCGGGCGCGCGCCTGCCGGGCCAGCCGAGCCCCGGGGCTTACCTGTAGCACGTGGTGAGCTCCCCCGAAGGCTTCAGACACGGATACTTGGTCGTGGCGATGTTGTTTTCCGAGCAGATTTCTCTGAAAAAGTTAGGGGAACTTGGTTGGCCGCTCCGCACGAGAGCGGGGGCCAGTGCGCGCCGGGCATCCGCGTCCCGCGCGCCGAGGCGGCGCCGGTCTCTGAGCGCGGACGCAGGGAAGACCCCGAGGCCCGGGCCCGGCGAGGGTCCCACGAAGCGAACCCGGCCCCCAAGAAAGAGAAGAGGTGCAGACACGGGACACCGAGGGCGGCAGGAGGGCGGCGCGCGGTGTCACCGAGCCGCGAATGCGAGAGCCCGGGGTATGCGCGCGAAAGAGGCTTCTACCCCGGAGTCTGCGAAGCTTTCCTTCGCTCAGGAGAGGTGAGCGCCGGGGGAAACCGAGAGCGCACGGGGCACCGGCGGGATGGTCTGGGGAGAGGGTACCGCCTGCGCCCCGAGAGTCGGCGCGCACGCAGCAGGGACCCGCAGCGCGAACCTGTCGCCGTCGCCCGGCTCCTCTCGGTAGCTCCACGCGTGTCCCAGCGCCAGGAGCAGCAGCAGCGGACCCAGGCTCCTGCCCAGCTGGCCCCTCGCCGCCCCTGCCCGGCTTGGAAGCGGCGGCACCATCGGGGACGCTCGCGGCTTCTTGGCGGCGCCGGCCGCCTCTCCAGCCCTGCGCCCGGCTCCTCCGCGTGCGCCGCCGCCTGCCTGTGCCCGGCGGGGGGCGCCCGAGGCCGGGGGCGTCGGAGCCACCTGCGCGCCGCGCAGGGCTAGGGGGCTCGGGGCGGCTAGGGGGTCGGGTTCGGGGCTGGGGCGCAGGGGCGCCAGCGGGGCGGGGACGCGGGGCCCGCGGGGGTCCGGGAGGTGTCGCTCCCGAGGCTCACGCCGGACAGACGGACGCGCTCCGCTCGGCTCTGGGCGGCGCCCTCCCCGCCGGCCCCTTCCTCCGCTGGGCGCCGCGCGCGGCGTGCGGAGCGCGGGTGGCCGCTGGCATTTTACCCCGGGGTCGCAGAGCCGGGGCGGGGGAGGAGGCGGGGGGCAGAGGGCTTTACACGCCTCCTTTCCGTAGTGGGCTGGCTTCCAAGGACGCGGGTCAGGCCCGTGTTTTGCCTCCCCCCACCCGCCCCTCGAGCGTCTACACTGCCCGCCCCCTTTCCCCCTAATCTCCTTCGTAGAAGGGAGGACGAAGGAGGTGAGGGCAGCCCCAGACCTGAAACTACAGCGTGTCTGTTTCCAGTCCCTTAGCCCTCTGGCCAAACAGGTAATGAGCTCTGGTCAGCCCTTTCCGAGGACTGTGGAATAGATGACCAGCCCAAGTTCGATGCATGAAGCAGGGCATTCAAAGCCGGTGCTCTGGGACAAGCCAGAGGGATGGGGGACACATGTACACCCGTGGCTGGTTCATGTTGATGTGTGGCAGAACCACCACAACATTGTAATTAGCCTCCAATTAAGTAAATTAATTTTTAAAAAGCCCTCTTGCTTTAATGCTGTTTCACACCACGCACACAGGTGAGACCTGGAAACTCCTGGAAGATCAGGTGAGACCGTGAAGGGGCCTGCGACCGGCTGGTTAACACAAGGCTATTAAGGGGTCTCCTGAAACCTGGGCTGCCGGTCGTTAATCGGGTCAGCTGGTGGTGACCCACGGGTAACTGGTAGGCCTCTGCATCTTCACACTTGGTTGCCCATTCGGCGTTTCCGTGCCTGCCTGTTAAAGAGTAACTCCTGACATAACCGTGCCCCGCTGAGCAAGCCCAGAAACCAGCTGCCGGAGCTCCAGGTTGTAATGCCCAGCCTCTAAAAAACCCGTGGTTTCTGCAGCTTTCCTGAGGAGGAGAAAACACCCCTTGATCAGGTTACTAGGGTCCTCATGGGTTAGCTGAGCAGGCGTTTTGATTCAAAATATTCTGGGCCACTGAGAATCACCCTGCGTGCCTGACATTTTTCAAAGCAGTGGTATCCTCATTGTTCTGTAGAGTGTTTTTATATTTTCCAAAGGTTTTTTTCACGTTTATGACTTTATTTGATACCATATCCCTTGAAACTAGGAGTCCAGCTTCAGTGAGGTGGGTTTTTTTTTTTTCCTGCAAAACTTACACAGGCATGGCAGAGCATAAATCAGGCTTGATTTGAAATCAGACAAAAGAAGTGAATTTTCACATGGTCAGGAGACACGGCAGAAACTTGTACAACCTAACAATGACCATCAAAAGTCAGAAAGAAAGAAAAAGACCAGATTCAAACCCAGGGTGCCTGGCTTCCAGGGCCAGTGACCTTTCTGAAACTCAGTTTTCTCATCTGTAAAATGGACAAAACTCCCTATAAGTATTTAAGAATAATGAATAAGGTAATGCATATGACACATTTTCACAGTGGCTGGTGTACATATTGAGTGCTCAGTAGACATTAACTCTTCTCATTTTGAACCTAAATGATTATATTACACAGGATTTTCAGTTTTAACTTTTTAACTTTCTGCTTTTAGATAAATAGGAGTTTATTTCACAAAAGCTGTTTGAGTTCCTGAAGATCCTAGGGGATACCCTAGAGATACCCCTCTAAGCTCTTGAAAAAGAAACCCATCTGAGAGGTTGTAAACTTTGTGTCACTTTAGAGGCCATTCTGAGGAGGGTCTATTTTTATTTTCTTACCTATTACTCTAATTTTACATCTGGCTGTCTTTTTCTCCTCTCTATTCATTTTGCTTTTCTACTGTTGTAATTGTGGACGTTAGTTCTACAAGTAATAGAGAATGGTAAAGGAGATTCTTCATCAGTTATCTCATTAAATAGTTAATAAGCCACATATGGGGACAGGGAGCCTTCCCGAGACAGTAATTCAGGCTGTAGATGATAAAATCAAGTCTGTTGATTTGGGAGGAGTTGATCTGGGAGTCGAGGAGCTGACTTTGAGGCCTCCTTGTTTTCAGCCCTGCCACTGAGCCCGGATGAGAAGGAGGTTTCCAAGGATGTGCTGGGGTCCGGCACACAGGCCAGGCTTGCCTGCGGAAGAAACCCTGAGGGGGGGTGTCCAGGGGGTGTGTCTGGAAGAGGGGAGCTGGAGCAGAGCCATTTTGAAAACCTTGGCCTGGAGACTTGGTATTTGAATCCACTGGAGCTACGGACCGCATAAGATGTTTCTTGGGGGGCTAGGCTGGAAAACACAGCAGAGTGGAAAGAGATGTGGATGTCCTGGATGCATTCCAGTCCCCCGAAAAGTTAAACACGCCTGTTAAAGACAAAACCTGCGTTAGCTCAGGCTGCAGCCTGCATGGGAGATGTCAGACCTGAGCTGAGTGTGGCAGAGACCTCCAGGGGCTTGGGCTTTTCCCTGCTGATACCCTAACTCATCTCCCCCACTGATGTGCCCCGTTCCCTCACTTCTGAAACGTGGGCTGAGAGGACGCACCTCCTGCCTCTCTCATGGGAGTGTTATAAAGATTAATGATGCAGACCTCGGGGCTCCTCATGGGAGGCTGTGTACAACTGTTAACTTTTCAGCATACCACTCTCCGTGATGTTTCCCATATAGACCTGTCAGCTTCCCTGAAACACAGCAGAGAGCGGATAGTTATACAATTTACCATGTCCTCGGGATGCGGGGCTGTGCCAAGGGCTTTGATGCAGACTGCGCCGTAAGCTCCACTCCCCGGTGGACCAGAAGGGCTTCTGAGTGCTGTCCGGGGGAGGGGATTACTGGCTGGAGAATACAGGGGCCAGCATACACGAGCAAAGTGAAGCAAGAAAAGGAAAAAAACTAGGCCGCTGGGCAGGGAGTATCCTTTGAAATAAGAACCATGGCTTCTTCCACTCATTTTTAAACATTTTTAACTTTCATTTTTTCAACTGAGGCAAATGGACATATAATACATTAGTTTCAGGTGTACGGCGTGATTCAGTACGTTAGCTATAGCAAAATGATAACTGCAAAAAGTCCAGTTAACATCCATCACCACACAAAGGTACCATTTTTTTTTTCTTGTGATGAGAACTTTTAAGATCTTCTGTCTTTAATCTAGCTGTCAAATGGGCATGGCAACCCACTCCAGTGTTCTTGCCTGGGAAACCCCATGGACAGAGGAGCCTGGCGGACTGCAGTCCATGGAGTTGCAAAAGAGTTGGATACAACTTACTGACTAAGCAACAACAAATGATGTGGAGCAGATTAGATAAAGCAATCAGGGCAAAGGGGAAATCAGGGGAGCGAAATAAAATGAAGCTGAAGTGATGTTTAGTTTGCAGGATTGTGTAATTCGTACGCTGTGTTTAAAGCAGGACTTCAGTGATGATCCAGTGGTTAATAATCCTCCTTGCGATGCGGGGGACACAGGTTCCACCCCTGGTTGGGGGTCTGAAAGCCTGCAGGCCTCAACTAGAGAGAGCGTGCCACAGCCTACAGAGACCACGTGTTGGGCCACAATCAAGAGAAGCCCATCTGCCAAAACTAAGACCCAATGCAGCCGAAAATAAATATTTTTTTAAAAAATAGAGCTATTCACAAATCAGTTCTCAGAGTCTCAAATTCAGTTCAGGATAATTACCTGATCAGTTACAAGCTTCAAGGTAGCCATCATGGAAAAAGCTATAAATGGCTCAAACAAAGATTCACAGGCCTTTCCTGTTGGTCTCCTTGGAAGACAGCAGTAGTCATCCAGAGGTGTTTTCAGAGAAGCAAGACGCAGCGCGCGCGGGGCAGCGTGCACTCAGACCTCTGAGTGACACACACATACCCCTGGAATAAGCAGGTCGCCCTGGCACCTTCCTTCAGTTTCAGTTTTGATTGACATACGGCCAGGTCCACTGAGGGAATTCTGGTTACCCCTTGAGGAGTATTAAAGCGCCCCGGTCTCCGAGCCATTGTGAGGACACGCTCAAGGCAAGAAGCCTCAAACATGCCCACACAGTCAAAGGGCTTTCAAGCCCTGGTTTTGGGGTGTATACACCATCTTTGCACCTAGTCTGCCTTCATTTTAACTTGTCCAAATTCTGAAAGTTTTATTAAAGCTGTTGGTCTCTGGAATTTCCTCCCAAGACAGGAAGAAACATCTGATTCTTATGTCTATGACAGAATCGCACAATTTTTGCCAAACTCTGAAATAAAGGTAATGTTAAAAGATTGGGTAGCCTTATATGCCTATAGGTGGCTGAAAGAAAAATGGGCAAAATCTTTTTAAAGGGAGAGAAACTTCTTGTTACTTGGTCGAATGTCTCAAAAAGATCCAGAAAAACTATGTGATTTGGGTGTCATGTTCGTGAAAGTTCTAATACACGCACGCTCAGTCTCCCTCTGAGTCTCTGTCTGGGGTTTCTTCCAAAGAAGTGTGTCTAGACTATAGGAGTTGGCCGTCTCCTTGACCAGTCACAGCTGCAGGATCAAACCTGGGGTTTCTAGGAGGGGAAGAATGTTCTAGCTCTAGCAATTCTGCAGCGTCTTGTGGGAAAATGGGGGAAGGCGGGATGTGCGGCTAGGGGTCCCCATCTCTTGTGGTCCCCACAGGCATGAACAAGGAGGAAGGGTCCAGCATTAGAGGAACAGCCACTAGCCCCTCACTACGAAGTCTCTGCTGGAGAACATGGTGTTAGAATTAACCCGGGATTTCTGAACTGACTCCTTGGAGTATCAACCATTCCTACAACTTCTCTGCTTTATTTTCATAGTGCTAACTCTCTTTATATTCTCTTTATATCCCGTGCCACTGTAGGAGTAAGGGTACTTATTTAGTATTTATTAAGAACTGGAAGATAGCTCAGTAATATGATATCAATTCGACAGGTAATAGCCATGCTGGCTTTAACAGAAGTTTTCTGATTTGAGTCAAGGTTATCTTTTATGTTGGAGTAAACATAATTGCATTACCCATGGTAGCAGAGCATGGCAGTTGCTATAATTAAAAATATTCCTTCCTCCAGGTGTGAGGTGGGCTTTACCGCCCTCCTTTTAGATGGACTTAGAGGAAGTTCCCTGACAGTCCAGTGGTTAAGAATCTGCCTGCCAATCCGGGAGATGCAAGGGCCTCAGCTTCAACCCCTGGGTCGGGAAGATGCCCTGCATAAGGAAATGCCAACCCACTCCAGTATTCTTGCCCGGGAAATCTCATGGCCAGAGGAGGCTGGTGGGCTACAGTCATGGGATCACAAAGAGTTAGACACGACTGACATGCACACCAGCGGTTAAGACTGCTTCCACTGCAGGGGGCACGGGTTTGATTCCCGGTCAGGGAACTAAAATCCTGCATACCTTGCAGCAACCCCCCCCCCAAAAAAATACACTTAGAGAAATAGCACTGGAAGGAGGAAGGAATTAGACTGAAAAATCAGATTTACCTAGATCTGAAATCCAGCTCGAAAACTAAAACCTTCATGATCCGGAACAATTTTCTGGGATTCGGTTTATCCATAAATAATTAGAAACAACAACCTCCAAGTCACAGCATCTTTGAAAAGAGTAGAGAAGATCTATAACACGCCTGTTGCATCGAAGATAGTAAATGAAAGCAAACACTACTTTAGTTATCTTTGAAAACTTGAGTGCGGCTATGATGGACCATCGCCCGGTCACATTTAACTTACTTTCCATAAAAGATACTTTGGGAAATGGATGGATGACTCACAGGAGAGACTTCCTTTCACAGCGCAGACTAAGCTAAGCAGTAGGATTCACATTGCTGTCACTACCATTGGGCTTTAAGTGATTCTTAGGAGGTGAGTAAGGCCCTGGGTGAGTCAAGCCCATTAACAGTTGCTAGAAATTAGAATGCACATACTTCCCCTTAGAAAACAGTTGTGTTTCTGAATACTGTGCCTGTCTGATGTTTATATATTCTAAAGCAAATCATGGTGTAAATGTATTCCAGGAACTGGCTAGTTAAAACCCAGCTGTGGTCAGTTCTAGAGTGGTGTGAAGAGTCTCTTCAACTCTATGCATCGGTGTGACCGCATCGTTTTCTGTTGAACTTTTCTAACTGGGTCAGGCTGGGAGCATTTGCAATAGCATAAAGGGCCCCTGCCTAAGGAGACAGCAGTCTTCTGGGTGGGCCGTTTTGTTTAAAGAAATGAGGCAGTCCATATGGTGCCTAAAAATCTTAGCATTCTCATTAGAGGTTATTAGATTCTAACAGAACCTGGGATACATCTGTTAACCAAGATGGAGGCCTCTTCATGATCTAATACCAAGGAAGACACATTCCTGCATGCTTTTAATGGACAATGATCCTTTTCCAATAAGTTGGCACAAAGAGTAACAACAAATACTTACTGAGCACTTGGTACCTGCAGATATTTTTAAAAGCACTTTACAAGTATTATCCAGTGGTTAGGACTCCAGGCTCCTGCTGCAGGGGGCACAGGTTTGACCCCTGGTGGGGAACTGAGACCCTGCACGCTGCACAGCATGGCCAGAGAAAAAGAAAGTCTGCAAGTATTATCTCGTCTAATCCTTATTGTGATCCTCTGTCGCTGAGTCTATTATCATCTGCTTTTTACGGGTGAGCAGCTGAGATACTTTTTCTGTTAACATTTATTTTTTTATCTGGCTGTGCTAGGTCTTGGTTGTGGCCCGCAGGATCTTTAGTTGCGGCATGTGGTATCCAGTTCCCTGGACCAGGGATCGAACCCGGGCCCCCTGCACTTGGGCCATGGTGTCTTAGCCACTGGACCCCCAGGGAAGTCCCTGAGAGAGAGATTTTAATTCACTGGCCTAAAGAACTGAGTTGTGAGCAATGAGCTGGGTTTGAATTGGGGCATTTTTAGCCCCAGGGTCCATGCTCTTAACACTTCACTAAACTGCCCTTTGGAAAAGCAAGGGCCTGGGCAGTTTTCTCCTAAGAGACAGACTACATCTGGGATGTTTGCTCAAGGATGTCATTAAAGCCACAGAAGTGCCCAAAGTCCACTGTGATGATCAGTGACCCTGAGACTCAACTGTGGTTTGTGTTCAGGCACGATCCTTCCTCCACAGCTCTGCCAGCCGGCTGACCCTGTGAGTCCTCGCCTGAGTGTGCTGGCTGACCGCTCTCCTTGCAGCAACGCGGAGCTCTATCCACTGGACCTACCCACCCCTGTGGAGCCGGACAGTCCCTGATTCACATGGAGATGGGAATGGGACATGAGAGGATTGAGGTCCGGTTTCAAAACCTTGGAGCTCTGGCTTGTTTGCAAACCATCCTTCCTATTCTAGCCCTGGACCTGAGACAGGCCTTTGTCAAACCTAGAACACTCGGGCACTCGGCTGTCAGAACACACTGCAGTGGGGGGAGGCTTATTTTTGAGGTTACCCCAGAGGAATACCTAGGCAAAATGCCTTGCAGACCTCCGAGTCCGGCATAGTCCCATGGAAACACTTTCCACTTGGAAACTGACTCTGTGAGATTCAGAAAGAATAGTGGAAAGTAAACAGTGGCAACCAAGGTTTGCTGACGAAAGTTGGAATAATTCTGGATCTTTCAGTCTCTCTCCCTCTCCCTACCCCTTACCTCCGCCCCTCCCACACACAGTCCTCAGAGGCTGTTTGTTGGCTTGTAGATATTTCAGATTAGCACAGGCTTGCATTTTTCCACCCTAATCTTTACCAACAACACGGAATCCTGAAGGAATGTCAGATAAAAAGAGCTGCTTTGGTTTAAGTTCACGGAATCCAAATACCTCCCTTTGGGTCTGGGGTATAGCAGGGCAATTGTTTGTCTTCCTTCTGCCTGATGGGTGATGTTTGGACCTGAGTGAATGTTTAGTGTCGTTTCTTTGGTGTGATCGCTGACGACTGCCCTGATAATTCATCAGGAAGGGAGTTGAGAGCTTTCAGACCGTCTTTCAGCTCCAGCATTTATCTGCAGGATAGTTATAATGAGGCTGAAAGTCATGTGCATGCAGCCGGCCATGTATCTGGCTCTCGAGTCCTCTCATCCTGATATGAGACTCGTGGGTCTGACCCCGCGCATCTGTAACCCACCGTTAGAGCCCCCAAGACCCGCTTTGAAGCTGACTGCCTCTCTGGCTGCGCCCTTCTCGGCCATTCGCCCCTGGCCTCCGTGGGGTCCTCTTCTCTCCCATCTCTGCTTTCTGCCTTCTGCGTCAGTTTTCTCTTCCATCAGCCATGTTACTGCAATTCCATCCTTTCACCCACCAGCCTTCACTTTCTGTCCCCGCTTGACTCTCTCTGTTATTTCCCTTCTGCTCCTCTGCTCATCCGTTTTTTTTTTTAAGATGTTTTTATGTGGACCATTCTAAATTCTTTTTATTGAGTTCATCACAATATTGCTTCTATTCTACATTTTGGTTTTTTGGCCAGGAGGCGTGTAGAACTTAGTCCCCGAACCGGGGATGGAACCCACACGCCCTGCGTTGGAAGGCAAATGTCCCGTCCGATGAGCCACTGGACCAGCAGTGAAGTCCCTCGGCTCTTCCTTCAGGTGCGTCCTCCCCAAAGTATACAATTAAAGCCTCTTCCCTCCCCAATCCTATTTCTCCCACAAAGTCATTGTTTCTCAGCTGGAGGGAGTGGGGGTCACTTTTGTCACCGAGCAGAAATCTGACGTGTTAGGGGACACTTTAGGTGTCTCAGCTGGGGGCCCGGGTGCTCAGGCATCTGCTGAGCGGAGAGCAGGCTACTGTTCCAGCTCCTACAAGGCACACGGCAGCCCCCTCCTCCCGCCACACAGCGGAGAACCATCTGGCTCAAGATGTCAGCGGTGCCGAGGCCGGAAGTCCTGCCCTAGACAGGCCTGCATCCCTCTCCCGCTCTGTCCTCTGTCTCCCATCTCTGAGCCCAGGGGCTGCCCCCTCTCCTGCCCCCAGCCCGCCCCAGTCCAGCTCCCGCCCGCTCCCCGCAGCCGTCCCAGTGCTGCGTCTGCTTTCTGCGTTAGATGTGGTCGGGTCTCACCTCCTAGATGCTCTGTCGCCTCCTGCCTTCGTGTTCCTGCCTTAGCGCGGCAGTTTCCTTATCTCTGAGCTGTCCTGCGGTGACGAGAGGAACTGTGAAAATATTTTTCTTAGAATTCTGTTTATCGTCCCAGTTTTCCCAAACCCTGCAGCCCCGAAGTTTCTGGTTTCAGAGCCTCTTGGATGTTATCAGACGGCTGGCCTCTCTGACTCTCCCCTCCTGCCTGCCGCCCTCCGCTCGCCTGCTGGGGCCGCAGATGCTGTCCTGGGCCTTTCTTCCCCAAAGTGATGCTTATGTGGTGCTTACATTGGCGTGGCTGGCGTGATTGTACCTGCTCTTCTGCTGTAAGAGAAAGGAGAAATACCTTCCCTACCTTCTTTCATGAAAAGAAAAAAAAAATGATTTTATCCTTTTTTTTTTTTGCTGTATTTGCTGTTTGACAGGGGCTTCCCTGGGGGCTCAGTCAGTAAAGACTCCGCCTGCAGTGCGGGAGACCCAGGTTCGATCCCTGGGTCAGGAAGATCCCCTGGAGGAGGACATGGCAGCCCACGCCAGTGTTCTTGCCTGGTGAATTCTATGAACAGAGGAGCCCGGCGGGCTACAGTCCATGGGGTCACAAAGGACACGATGTAGTGACTAACCCACCAAGGCAATCCCTACAACTGCAACGCCGTGTGTGTTAGCAGCTAAAACAAGACAACCACCGTCCCCAGGGAGCTCCAGCTCCAACAGGGCCGGGAGCGAGACGCCGGACCACACCTCCGCCGGCGCTGCACTCGGAGGCGGGGTGGGGGGTGGGGGCGACCAGCGCAGAGGGCGAGAGCCTCGTGAGAGTTTCCTGCGGGTGTGATGAGAAGGGGTCACAGCGTAGTGGCTTAAAACCACAGAAAGGTATTATCTTGTCGCTCTAGATGTCAGAGGCCCCACGCCAGCCTCACTGCGCTGAAATCACAGTGTCAGCAGAGCTTCGTTTCTTCTGCAGGACCTGGGAGCAGGATTGCTAGGGTTTCACGTTCTTCGAAGACTCCAGTGGAGAGCGTGTTGATTAAACGCTTGCGGGAACCAACATTGGATAAAGGGATGGTGGGCCTGGTGGGACTTCCCTCGTGGTCCACTGGTGAAGAGTCCGCCTTCTGATGGAGGGGTGGGGGTTCGATCCCTGGTCAGGAAACTAAGATCCCACATGCCAGGGTGCAGCGAAGCCCATGCACCACAGCTAGAGAAGCCGACACTGCACAGCGAAGACCCAAGACAGCCAGAAGAGAGGGCTGAGAGGCCACCCTCTCGGAGAGAACACAGCAAAGCCAGGACTGAGCAGTCAGAGGCCGCTGGTCTCCAGCTTGTCGCCAGCAATCCTCAACGCTAAGGTCCCTCCTTTACAGACGAGTGATCCGTGAGGTGGCTGGGGTCCACCCTCTCGGACCCCAAGGTATTAACAGCTCAGTGGAATCACTACCAAAGGCCAGGCAAGCCACATAGCGTGCCCTCCCTGCTCCCAGCACCAAAGCCCAGCGCTCTGGAGAAGACCCCCGTTAACTGGACACTTGGACATTTGACCCCAGCGTACAAAACGCCCGTGACTCTTGCAGGAGCTCCCCTAGTGTGGGGTGGCAGCCCCGTGCCTCTGGATTTATTTATTTCTCACTTATTGCAAAAACACCATCCTCATTCAATCCTGTCTCAAAGGAAAGGGTCAGGAGGCAAGTGGTTTCAACCGCCTCCACTTAACCGCCCCTTTCTACAAAAACTGTTTCCTTTCTCTTCAGGCCAAACTGTTCTCCACACAATGAATGAACTGGCGCAGACTGAGCCGTGTCCTCGACTAGGAAGCTTCTTACCCTTCCGAAGGTATTAGGACTCATGTCTGAAATCAGGACATTTTTGAAAAGTTGGGAAGGGGCTGCAGCTCAACAATAGGTGGCCTCCACAACATCAGGAAATTTGCAGCCTGTGCTAACGATTTTTGAGGCTGGCTTTATTTTTCTTCTGCCCTGAATTCCCTGAAATCTAAGGTCAAGGTTAAGAAAACAGAGCAGCAATTTGGGGGATTGAAGGAAAACAGAATGAACATAAGCCGTCAAAATGCTATCATTCCTGGGCAAGCGGGACTTTGGTATAGAAAACTTCGGTGTCAAGAAATAGTTTTGTTTTTTTTTCCCTTGAGATTAAACTGAGACCAGAGCAATTCAAACCCCCTTCCCTGAGAAGTGTCACCTTATATTTTCCCATGAGACAGGCTTTTCCCCTTGGCTGGGGCCAGGGGTGGGGTGGGGATGTCCCTGAAAGGGCCATAGTCCTGTTTGTGTGAATCACTGTCTGTTGCCAGGCTGGGGTGCCAGTGCCAGAGTAGGGATCATACGCACAGTCTTCACGACTCTGTGAATTCATGAGCTCCTGCTGAGAACACGGGCCTCCAGTGTCCCTCCCGAGGTGAAGCTTGCGCCCCATCCTGTTTCAATAACAGTCCTGGCAGTCCTTTATCGGCTATTCCTTCTGTCCCAAGCACTGTTCTCAGTGATTTTCTGAGATCATCCAGTCCCCCAGCAAGCCTGCCAGGTAAATACAATTATCCCCATTTTGTAGTTGAGGATAACTGAGGCATGGACAGGCCGATCATGCAACTAAGGTCCCTGGCTAGCCTGCCGCGGGGCCTGGAGCTTGATGCAGGCTGTCTGGTCTGGGGGACCACACACTTAGCCACTAGAGACGGGCTCTGGCTCTTATCTAAAAAGGCTGTTTTGCACAAGGAGTGACCCAGGCCACCCTCACTACAGAAAGCTCATTTGGGTCTGTCACCATCGGTTCACTGGCCAGGCTGGTCTCTCCTAATGGTCTGAGACACCCGCCCGAGAGCTTGGGCTTTGCCTGCAGACAAGGTCTGAGGTTCCCTTAAAGAGAGAGGAAGTGAATCTAAAGTTCACTCCACGGTGTCCTGCGATAAGTTCTTGCCATGTATGATTAGTTGGCCAAGTGGGTGATTTATGGAAGCATGTTTCCAAGAGCGGTCCCCGCATGAGCCAAAAGTTCTGCTGAGGCCCGTGGCCACAGATCATGCGTAATTCCCGGCAGCCACCTGCAAATTCATAACAAGTCAACGGGGACCTTAGCGAGCAAATGGTTAGTTCGCACAATCAGAGAAACCTCAGGCACCCTGGGCTGCAGGGATAGGAGCGGATGGATGTGCAAACAAAAGGAGGACATTTTACTACATTATTTGCAGGAAAAGAACTCAGGGATACTTAGGATTTGGCTAGAGCCTCGAGCCCAAGTTTCGGGATTGAAGACAAGGAAACTTGTAAATCTCTGAATATTTCACTTCGGCCTCATACATAATACATTCCTAACAAATGATTGCTGAATAAGAAAAGATTTATCATTGCATTCTTCACATAGAATGAACTTCTCCTATTTATTAAAGAATTCTGCCATACTGAAGGAAGGGATTTGAGTTATCTTCATTTCACATGTCACTATGGCGCCATTTGTGAAGTTTTATCATCAACATCATAGTAGTGAGGAAGATCAGCTGCTCTGGGTTCAAAAACTGAGAGCTGGTACCCAGCGTCTAGATTAGCCTGTCTCACCCCGACTGCATTCACTGCCCCCTCAGCTGGGCTGGAGGCTACAGGGTAGACCAGAAGCCTTGCAGGGCCCACGGTTATTGGACTTTGGTTCTTTTCTATCAGATGGCTCTAGTGGTGAAGAACCCACCTGCCAATGCAGGAGACGGAAGAGACAGAGGTTCGATCCCTGGTTCGGGAAGATCCCCTGGAGGAGGAAATGGCAACCCACTCCAGTATTCTTGCCTGCAGAATCCCATGGATGGAGGAGCCTGGTGGGCTGCCGTCCACGGGGTCGCAAAAAGTCGGACACAACTGAGCGACCAACACCTCTCTCCTGTCAAGCCAGCTTCTGAGGATTTCCAGCCATTGCTGGCTTTCCTGAGCAAAAGCACAAACAGCAGGGGAATGACCGTGTGGGGGCCCGAAGACAAAGGCCTCAGCAGAACCCCGAGAGGGAACCGGCTTGGAGACAGAAAGCTGGCCCCACCCCAGCAGGGCTGAGCGCGGTGGGCTGAGGGCTGGAGCCCAGGCCTCTGTGAGCGGATGACTGTGGGTCTCTAGACCCTTTAGATGATGGTTCTGGGCCTCCCCGCGTGGTGTCCAGGGGCTAAGACTCCTCGCTCCCGAGGCAGGGGGCCTGCGCTCCCTTCCTGGTCCCCACCCACTGCTGGTACAAGTGCGAATGTCCCAATGGGAAGGTCCTGCATGCTGCAGCAAAGCCCCGGCTCAGCCCGATAGATAAGTTAATCAAAGAAACTGGGAAATCAGATCCCAGTTCCCCCGGAAGTTCTTCTCTGCCTAGCCACTGCCCCGCACCGTCACCGCCTGGAGGCGGGTAAGGAAACAGAAGGAACATTCCATCAGAAGCCTTCCCGATGGGCACCGTGGGGCTGGGAGGCAGAGGGGGAGAGGAGGTCGGAAGTTCTTGTTTAAAGAGATGTTGTGATTGTTGGAGGTGGCCTGGTCCCTGCTGGGAGGTTACTGTAACGACTGGGAGGTCTGCCAGAGGCGATGGTGAGCCGCCGGCGGGCTGGGGCCGGACAGGACCCTGTGGCCTCGCGTGGAGTCCTCCCGTGCAGGCGTGCGGGAGGCTGGGGCCTCACGTCTCAAGATGAAAGCAGCAAACATTTTATGAGTCTCAAAAAGGAACAGCGACTTCCCCCATCCTCCAGGGCCAACAAACCAGGGAGACTGAGTGGAAACAGCTTTGTCATTTCCCCCCCATGAAACATTAGCAAAAAGCCTTGTAAAAAAAAATGTAAGGGCAAGGGGAGTTAGGGAGCCCTTCTTCCCCATCCCTTCCGTTCCCCAACAGGGAGACGCCATCCGAATGGTTTTCTGACACCTCATATAATTCAGTCACGGGAGGCAGCTGCTTGGTTGCATTTTGTTTGGGTCTATTTTGCTTTGGGGGGAAGTGTCCCTGTGTGTCGATCAGACGCTTTAGGGAGGGAGAGAGGCGGGGTCCTCACAGCCACACACAGCCGCGGGGTGAGGTCACTGCGCTCTAAACTCAGAAGGCG